AATTAAAAAAAAAAAAACAAGTCACCTTCCATAGACATACCCCAGTCCATCTCTTTGGCCACCTTTTTCTCCTTCTACCTTCTTCTAGCAATTTATACTGCTTTCTTTACTCCCTCTCTTCTGCTCCCCTATCACCCCTCCAGCCCTTCCCAAAGACAAGTATTTTGGCAGAACTGCTTCCCATATCAAGGTTTCAACTGCTCACTATCAGAAAGCACACTTTGAGCTTTTTTTTGCTTTTTTTTCTTTGGAGGCAGGTGTGTGAGTAAACTGGCTGATTTTTTTTTCTGTTTTCCAATGTTTTCTGCAGTGTTTTTTCACTCCTGTGTGTTTTCTAGTGCCTTCTAACAAGTACCCTGTCAGCAGATTACAAATCAGCAAAGTGTAATTTATTATTGAACTTGGCAAAGTATTTTGGGGTGCATAAGGCACTGCGCTACTGAAAGCTGCATTAAGCTGGTCTAGTCTCTTCACTGCACACAGAGCAGCCATCTCTAACTCAGCTGGCTGATTCTCCCAAAGCCATATTGTAATTTTAGGACTGTAAGTAGCATTTTACTAGCAAAGAGTTCCTGCCATACCAAGCTATTACATTAAGCTAAAGCAAATAGAGCAAAAATCAAACTCACAAGGGTTCAGAAGCAAGATTTAAAACATGATCATGTCCTATTTTCCAGAGACATTAGGCCTGTGGTTTTCTTGCAAACCCTAAAGCATTCTGAAAGCAAGAGAGATTTGGGAGGGTAGATGGAGTACTAAGGAGGGGAGAGCCCTTTGATTTTCATGCAACTGGCTTGCTCTGTATTAGCAGATATAGCCGCTGCTCAGTTGTGAAGAAGTACTTTTTTTTTCAATAAGTATTTCTCAGTTACCAAGGGTACTTGGAGGCTTAGGGTGGGTGCCCTTTTCACAGATGTAGCAGTGTAAGTACTAATATGACATGGGGGGTTAGAGGTCTGCTCCAATGAGTTTGAATCTTGGATGAATAGCCAGCCGTAGCTACGATTATCAGCAAGTAGCTTAGATGTGGCGAAAGTGTGACCCTGAAAGTTCAGCCAGCTTCCTTCTGAAAGAGGTCCTGAAAAGGGTGAAAACATGTAGAATTATGCTCATTTCCTTTCTTATTTATGGTGTGTAAAGGATAGGGATTTTTTTGTCGTTGCATATATATTTTTTACCTGAGGGAGATCAAGAATGTTAAGCCTCCACATCTCTGGAGGAATTGCAGAGATGCTGATCTGGGAGGGGAATGGGGGGGTGGTCACTTCTCAGCCATTGAGTTTTAAACAGTCAGAATAAAAAAAGAAAGAAAAAAAAATCAATTGCCCTTTAAATCGTGTAAGGGTTTCTCTGGTGCCTCTTGATTCCTACCAAATCTCTACTTGTTCACAGATTCCTCCAGCATAGACACAAACTGAATTTTTAATGTAAAGAGCCAAGACGAAGGCAGCAATCTTTTTAAAAAAATCCAGCCATTTAGGCATTCTTAACACATCCTGAATAAATATAGGCCTGAACATGTCTTCCCTGCCCCCTCACCATCTTTGGGAAGTCATTGTGAAGCAGGACCCGTGGAGATCACAGATCCCGGCATGCAGTGCTCCATCTGGATCCATGCAGGCTGGCTGGAGTGTCCCAGCATGCTAGAACATGTGTTCTCCCCAGGCAGCACCCTACACTTGTAATGCAGGTGGCTGTAAACAGCTTCATTTTCTGCAGATTAGGCGTGGCCCACCAGCCTTCTGGCTGGCTACCAGTGGGACCTGTGGCGGAGTACAAGGTGGCTGCCCTGTCGAAGTGCATACACATTCCTGGATCCTTTTCCTGCAGTCTTTTCTCTTCCTCATACAGTGGGAAGTGAGAAATTAAAAAGTATAAATTAACAAATGAGACCCAGTGATTAGAGCCGCAGTCATTTGCCAGAGTTGGAATCGCTCTTTGTGCCAATGTAAACAGCCATCACAACTCCCTACTGCCGACTCCCCCCGAGTGTTTATTTAAGCCAACACATTGCTCTGCTAATTGGATAACATTCCATGTGAAAATAGGCCTTTAAAACAAGAGCAGCAGCAAATAAAAACAGCTGTAGCTGCAAAAGTACTAGGAGCTACAGCCTTCAGAGGAGAGAAGACACCCAACTGAAAATTATGCGTTCTTCCTTTTCCCAGTACAAGTCCATATAATTTAGAGAGGAAAGAAATAATAGGAGAAGACCAGTGGTGACAATAAAATAGTGAATGATATAGAGAAGGCAAGCCTGCTTCACCCTTCCTCATAATGCTTGAATAAAGGGATGGTCAACAAAACAGGGAAGATATTTAGAAATAGTATTTAAAAGCAAAGTGTGTATATAGATATAAAACATTTTAAGTGGTTAATTAACCTGCAGGACTCATTACTGCAAGATGGCATTGAGGCAAGAGCTTTTTAATATAAAGGTATATAAAGCCTTTTGCTTTGTAATATAAACCATTAACAGGTGGGCTGAAAAAAAGCATCTCCCCTATATTGGTCAGTGAGTCACTAATATGAGAATTCTTGCACCTTCCTTTGATGCATCTGGGCCTGGTTGCTCTTGGAAGCAGGACTCAGAATAATGGTAATGCGGTAGTCTGGCCAAATGCCAGACTGACTGACTATATGTAGTTAGAGGTGGGTGAACTTTTTTTCATGTAATAGTAAATTTACCCACTGAAAAATGCAGTTTTGATTTAACCAGAGCTATTCCAAAATACAGATCAAAGTCAGCAAATAGTTTTCACTTTAAAAAGGAGGCAGAACATTTTGAAAAGCACATTTTCTTTTGGTGTTTTCAAAATGCAACATTTTGATTTTCATTGCAAAACTGAGCTATGCTTTAAAGAATTTTAAAATAGTGTAGGGTCTCAGGGTGGGAGAGGTAAATAGCCCATCATGAACTGTTTGGTTTTTAAGTCCAACAAAACATTTTGGTCAGCCTAAAATGATTCCTCTATCACTACCACCTCTTCCATCTCTTTGCAGATTTTTGGTACAGGCACTGAACAAAAATTCACACACCGCTGCTTTAAAATAATGCACATTTAAGCCTCTGAAGCTTTAGTTGGATGGAATATTCAAATCCCTACCTTCAGTTTTGTTTAGTGTTATTGGATGCTGTTAAACAGACCTTACATTCCATCCTAGATGTGGTTGCATTTCACTACCTTATAAACTGATCTGCAGTGGTTCTGCAGGGTTGTCAAACTCATTTGGCCCCATGGGCCAGATGAGGGGTTTGAGGCTGATATGTGGGTCACATAGGGCCCATAGACCAGCCCTATGCACCAGAGCCAGCACACGGGGCCAGTCTGGCATGGGCACCAAATTCCTGGATCAGTGCTGCAAAGCCCTGGTTTCAGGTTCGTGCACAGCCGGCATGAGTTGTGCACTGCACGAAGGACCGGTTCCAGACAGCACACAGGGACTGTCTCTGGTCCTGATTCAGACTGGCCCCAGGGCCAGCATACAGCACCAGTCTGACATGGGCACTGCATGAAAGGTACACCCTGGACCAGCCCCCTATGCTCTGTGCGTCACCCGCAGCACCAGGACCAGCTCTGAATGCCACATGCAGTGCAATGCACATTCAATGCACAGGGCTGGAGCCAATACATGCCACATGTGGAGTCAGTCCAGGACCCACGGGCCAGCTCTTAGGACTCCATGAGCCAGATTCAGCCTATGTGCTGTATCTTTGACACCCCTGATGTAAGATGATGGACTTGTTCCATGGAAGTTAACTCACAGAAACAGGCCTTATCTTAACTTTTAACTGACACAGTTAAAAATGCATTTTTGATTCCATTTATATCTGTACATAGCAACCTGTCAGTTTGTTGTAAAGCCTTTTGTCCTTTGGGATGAACTGTGCTATAGAAATGTTTGTTCTAGGTGTCTGTGTGTTTGCATAATGGAGCCTAATCCTGAAAGGTTCTGTGCACCTTCAACTCCTATCAAAGTCAGTAGAAACTGAGGACAAATAAACGCCTCCTTGGATCAAGCCAGTGTTCCCTGAACATTTCCATTGATCAGCTGAGGATATAGAAAGTCTTTTGTGTTGATGTTACGGCAGACACTCGTATATTCAATGTCACTGTAAGGTCACGGCCACACCGATGTTCTTAAGCAATATCGACTAATAGCGAGGCATCTTTGCCTTTCATGTAAAAAATAAACTCACAGCAATGAAATAGGGGAAAATTCTACCTTTGAATTCTGGTGCTTCTGTGATGTCCCTGTGATATTTGTCATCGTCAGAACTTGCAGAAGAGGAAGACTTCTCCTTACCAAGAGCTGGAATTCTTGAAATGTATTGCCTAAGCCGCCTTGCTTTAAAATAGCTGTCAATCCCAAGGCAACACTCTGTTTCATGCTGTCACCTTGGTGTACCAGACAAGTGAGATGGTGCATGGGGTGTTTTCTTGCAGTCATGAGAGCACTACAGAGTTCTTCCAACTCTCTGTAAAAGCTGCACTCCCAGCTTATGTACCTGCAATATTATGTCATGTACCTCTGGAAGTGCTATAGCATTCCACCTTGCTGCATGCCCAGTGTGTGCTGATCTTTATTTTCAGCTGTACACTCCCTCTCTTGGGTTGCTCCCACCCACCAGTGTTCCTGTTTTAACCATGTACGCAGAGTCCTTCAACCATCTCTTGCCCAAGGAGGTGCTTTCATAAGGGACTGTATTCGAGACTGCTGTTCTTCCTCACAGAGAGAGCTGTCCTCTAGAGCAAGCAGCTGTCTCGAGCTGCCCTCTAGACTGAGGGAAGGCTTCATTAATGAAGGAGTTTAGGAGCATCAGCATTGTGCATAAAACTCACAGTTCAGTATTTCGAGAGGGTCCCTAGGAACCTTTTCCATTGTGGGGGGTTGGACAGTGCAGGGATAAGGCACCATAAAATAAACTGAATAGATGCAATTGTCTTTTTTTCTTCCTCCCTTGACACACAATTTATATTCTCCTTTTAATTCTGCAGAAAGCCTTTAATGCCCTGTGCCACAGCACCCACTTGTATGGCAGGAGGCTGGTCCTGGAATGGGCTGACACGGAGGAAACAGTGGAGGCCCTGAGACGGAAAACTGCTGAACATTTTCATGGTAATGTAGCAGTGTCTTGCCCGGTCAGTAAATGTACCTCACGCTGGCATGTTCCCTCCTATGTGACTGGTAATCTGGCATGCAGTGTTGATTCTCACCAGCCCTTTTCTGAAGGATTGGCTGTTATTGTGGGTTGGCAAGTAGCTGGTGGGACCTGGGAACATAACTGCAAGGGGTATTGCATAGTGAATGCAGCAGTCACAGCCCACAAAAATGTGAAAGCCAAAGGAATCTCCTTTCCTATGAGAGCTGTCTGCACCGAGTATAGAGAAAAGCCACTGATAGTTTGAACTGTTTTAGGTTCCAGATAAGGTGAAGTGGCAGAAAACCAGCCTGACCACTCCTTTGCTTGTGCTTGCCTGTGTGGGTTAGCCCTTCAGATGCCAGCAGTTTCAGTGCATCCATTACATGGCATTCACCCAGTGAAATGGCTCTCCACATGCCACAATAGTTTGCTACAGTCTGAAAGTGCCAAGGGACAGGTGAGGATGAGAAGGCTCTTTCTATACCATTGGGCCTCTTTGAGAAATGAGGTAGCAGACTACATGCTTTGGCACAATGAAATGCCACATTCCCTCCAGCTATGTGTTAAGGTAGTACATTTCAGTGCCAAGAAAGGATGATTTGCAAGAAATACAGGCATCCAGGAGGAGGAGGATGAAACTCATCTCTGGCTCAAAGGTAAAAAATGGAAGAAAGAGAATAGTTGAGAGCTGAGCAGTCTTTTTGATTCAGGTTTCAGAGGCTGGTGATTCCATGGATAAGCTCACTGCAGACTTCTATTGACAGCCATTGACAGGGGCAGATGCATCAGTTGGCAAATATTTGTGTAAGGAGCGATCCCCTGGGTTCAAGGACTAAGGTGGAGATCAATGCTCTTCCTTCACCCTTTCTGTACAACCTCCTTCCAATGCACTCCTGTCATTTGCCTCCAGGAAAAAGGGTTGAGATCAGCAATTCCAATGCAGTGCGGAGAACAGCACTTTAAAATATACAGAGGTGAAAAGAGGCAAGCCTTGCTTCTTGTAGTCTCCTGACCCTAATAGGTATCTGTCCCTTTCTCTCTGGAGCAGCACCTTGCACACCCTCTGGTTTATTGCATGTACTTTGGTCAGAAAGATCAGGTCTGCAGTGAAACGGGAGGCTGGGTACTGTTAGATTAGGATGCAAAAGGGTAACAATCAGATGTTGATGAAGAGCTAGTAAGTTCTGGGAATAACAACCTTAGCCATCAGCATGTCACTAAAAGGGAGAGTGAGTATTTCTAGGGAGTCATGTGCTTGTGAACAAGGTTGCAGCACAAGGGGGTGCCTGC